AGTTTGTGGTAATTATTATAGCAGCAACAGGAAACTAATGCAGATTTATATGCTTGATAATAATAAAATGTAAAGAGATCAAGTCACTCTAGACAGGGGGACAAGGAAGGCCCCTCTGAGGAGGGAACATTTAATGAGAAACCTGAAAAAGGGTGAGTGAGGTAGAGATCTGGGCAAAGAGCATTCTGGGTAGAAGAAGCAGCAAGTGCAAAGGCCCTGGGGCAGGAACATGCTTCACATATTCGAAGAGCAAGAAGGAGGCTAGAGCTGAGTGAGTGAGGGGAAGGGGTAAGAGATGAGGGCAGAGGGAACCAAGGGAGCGGAGGAGGCAGGGAATAGGGGCCAGGGTGAGGCCTTTACCCTCTACTCTCAGCGTGATCAGAAGTCTTTGGGATCAGGTTTACATGTAAAAGGATTTCTGCATCGGTTAAGGGCTATTGCAGATTAGTCCAGACAAGGATCTGCTGTTTACAGAGCTCTTTTTAGAGCCGGATGACACTCCTGGGGGAGCCAAAATAGAGAAATAAAAAGCAAACAAACATAAAAACCCTCACGTGCATTTGGAAGAGTTCCAACTGCTTTTGACAATTTCACTCGCCACTTAATACCACTTAAGCTTTTTTGTTTTGTTAATTTTTGATTCCTTATTCCTCCAAATCAGCGCTGTCCAGGAAAATTATAACACGAGCCATATACGTAATTCAAGATTTTCTAGTAGCCACATTTAAAAAGGGAAAAAGAAATAGGAAATTAATTATAGTAACATCTTATTTAACCCAATATATCCAAGTTGTTATCATTTCAACAAGTAACCAACATAAAAAGATCAATAATAAGAGAGTTTACATTCTTTTTTCATGCCAGATCTTCAAAATCCAGTGTATATTTCTCATTGACGGTGCATCTCAATTCGGACGTTAATTTTGCATCAGAACTATTTGATCTGCATTTAGAGTCTATACAACTGAAAGTTGAAAAAGTAGATTTATGCATTCAGGTTGTTCCACGTGTACTTCAAACTTTCCCAATAACTGAATCAGGCATCAGTGTTTTCATTTAAATGAATTAAAACTAACTAGAATTTAAAAGCCAGTTCCTTGACCACACTCACCACTATAGCTGGTGGCAGCCACCGTAGTGGCCAGCTCAGATCTAAATTGATTTTAATCTGCTCCAAGCCCACTGCCTCCCCCCACTCACCTGGCAGGAAATGTCACGGCCACTTTTGGGGTCCCTGCCCATCCTACATCCTCATAGGGTGATCACTGACTACTCAGCTTGGTCAGGACCAGAAAGACGGGGGCTGCCCAAGCCTTTGGTCTACAAGGGTCCTTCGATATTTGCTGAGTTTCCCCCACCTGTTGCTGCAGAGGGTCTGGGAGATGCCCCCAGGGTGTCCCCCCCCAGCCATCCTCCCACTTTGCATGTGATCGGACTGTGTTCTCTGTGACCCCACCTCCCCCAGGCTGAAGTGAGCTCCAACTCTCTCTATCCCAAAGTCCCTCTATCCATCCTCCCCACTTTTGGAGGGGACCCCACGATTGCACCACTCGGTCCGGCCTCTCTCTGCTGGCACAGGAGCAGGAAAAGGAGCCACTCACACCAGGCTTTTTGGATTTAGCTTTAGGTTATTGAATAAAACAGGGGCGGCATCTCCCTTCCACCCTTGAGATTTGTTCAGATCCAGCTGTCCCCAAGGCCACCAGATAGAACTCAGGGGTCAGTTCCTAAGGGCTGCACTGGGGGGCCCCAGTAGAGAGTGGCCAGGGCTGCCTTGGGGGCCTCAGAGCAGACGACGTTCCTAACCTGGTAGCCTCTGCTCCGCTGTGTCCAGGAGATTTATGACTCTTTTTTTTTTTTGGCTCAGCCAGCCCCCAGGTGCGGGAGGGAGAAGGGGCTTGTTCTTCCCATTGTACAGTAAGAGTGGGCGCTCTGTGGGGGGTCCCTCTGTGGCCTCATCCCCTGCCCTCCTCTGCAATGCCCCCAGCTTCTCTGGCCACGGCTGCACCTCACCTGCAGGTGGGATTGAGGGCAGGTGGCTCAGGTAAGGGATGGTGGACCCGGGTGGGCCACCATGATCTGTGTCCAGGGAAGGCCCCACCTGTCCCTCAGCTTCAGGGGCTGTTTCCTGACATACCAGAGAGAGGCAGCATAACAGAGAGCTCAAAACATGGGCTTCAGGGCCAGGCAACCCGGATACACTGGTGCTTTGCTGTGTGACCTCGGGTAAGTAGCTCGACCTCTCTGTGCCTCCATGTCCTCTTTCATAAAATCGGGCATAATAATGAGTACCTCATGGGGTTATCTGTGAAGATTAAAACTCTTTAATGTATATAAACCAGTTACAATGACACCTAGAAAAGAATAGGTGATATATAAATGTTAGATCTTTTATTATTTTTTAAATTATTATTATCCCTTGCTCCTGAAATGTGTGTCTTTCAGTGTCTTCCTACCTTTCCGGCCATATCGCTCCACATGTGCCCAGCTCTCTCCTGCTCTGTCCATCCATCTCTGTCTGTCTGTCCATCCTCATCTCTTCTGGCCTCAGCCTTTCCGGAAATTCGCGCCAACTACTTAACTGTTCTGTGCCTCAGTTTCCTCATCTGCCAAACAAAGTTCTTAAGAGCATCTACGTCATAGTGTTGTTGTGAGGAATAAATGCATTATTACATATAGTTGAAATAGTCAGTTCTTGACCTAATTTTATAATAATTAATTTACCATATTTTAAAAGTTATTTAAATAATAGCAAGGCATTATTATTGTTTGTTATAATTTCTTTTCTCCATCAGTGCTCATCTTTTCCTCTGTCTCTCTGTCTCCCTTTATTCATCCACTCAACACATCCGCAGTGAATAGTTTTCATCAGTGAACATGACAGACGCAGGCCCTGTCGCCACCCCAGTGAGGGAAGCAGGTGGTAGAAAAATAAACACACGAACAACATCTCATCTATATATTGTGCCAAGGGCTCTAAAGAAGCGTGTAGGATGCTATGAGCTGAAAAAAAAAAAATAGGAAGTGAACACCCTGAATTAGACTGGGAGAGGGATCAAGGAAGGCCTCTCGGAAGAAGTGACATTTGAGCTGAGACAAAATGAGGAGAGAGGGGGTGAAGGGAAAAGTGTGAGTGGCACATGGAACAGACCACAGGGTAGCCTAGAGGAGGAGGGTGGCAGGACTGGGTGGAGTTGGAGCTGTTCTCAGGAGCCACTTCCCTCAGGCAGACCTGCCTGACCTCTCGGATAGGACAGGACATGGGCAGGGGCCACAGAGCAGGAACAGGGCACATGCTTTCCCTCAGCCCCCGTCCCTGTCCCCCAGCACTGCCCCCACCCACGGCCTCTCGCCACCCCAACCTTAGTCACATCTGGCAGCTGTGAGACCTGAGCCCTCCCCGCAACACCCCCCACCCCACCCCACCGCATCCTGGTGGTCAGAGCTGCTTCTACCAGCACGGGACAGGGGTCTGTGTGCCACCGGGGGATGGAACACGGACAGACAGACGGAGACACAGCTAGAAGACTGGACAGACAGTGAGAAATCGGAGAGAGACACAAGGACACAGAAACAGAGACAAGCAGGGAGACAGGACCCACTACACAGAGAAGCAAAGATGGAGAAAGAAAGGCGACAGCGGGACAGCAGAGATAAAGGGGCGATGCACAGAGACAGAGGGAGAGAAATTCAGCACGGAGCTACAGAGGGAGCGACAGAGATAGCCAAGGAGAGACAAAGACAGGTGAAGAGAGAGACAGAGACAGGGTCAGAGACAGACAGGGAGACGCGGCGACATTCGTGCTTCATCATCATCACCTGCGGGCGCCGCCCCTCGCCCGCGCCGGCTCTGCGGTCTACACCCATTCTTTAGGTGACCTCACCGGCCCCATGGCTCTGAACACCGCCTCTCCCCGATGACTCCCCACTCTTCTCACCTGCCCTGACCTCCGCCTGCGCCTCTGCGCTGCACGCCCCTCCGCCTTCGCGCCCGCCGGCGTCTCCCCCCACGCCCCTGCTCCCGCCTCTCCAGCGCGGAGCGCAGCCCCTGGCTCCACGCCCCGCCCCTCCCCGCCCCCACTTTCCACGCAGCGCTCAGGACGCTGGCTCTGCCCGCA